TGCAGTTAAGCTGGCCAGAGTCGAAAGAAGAAAAAAACTCACACACACACACACACACCCAGCAACGTCTAATACCAGCTTATGGTACTCAAGATTTTATGGTGATTGTTTGATGCCAAGGCATACTACAACAACACCATTCGGTGTGCATTAAATCCAGATAGAAAGTACATTTTGTGAAAATTAATGTCCACTACCTTGCGTGTCATTCATTCATTTGGATGGTGAAGTATGGAACCGCTCTATTGAAGTTGTTGGTGCCCAGTCAATCAGTCGATCGTTCCCGTCACTGTTAATAAAGCCTTTTAGATGCTCGAAGGAAATTAATGCATTTCTGATTGGTGCTGGCAATGGGGGGCATCGTTAAGAATTAAATCATAAAATTGCCGTACTGTTCCCATTATTGTAATGTTGAAATCATCAGAAGTTATTCGCAGCTGTGAGAGACATATCCATACAGCGCTCAGACAAGTTTAATGAAGTCAAAATAAATATTTTGTTAGTAGGAAATTTCAAAATTCAAAATTTGGCCACAATAAATAATTGAAAAGAGTGATTAGCTCTGTTCTGCCAAACAAGCTACGTTAGTTCAATTTTATTAGATCATACGATCAAGTTTAGAGTCCACCAAATAAGTATAGCTGAGCTTTCTCAAAGTCATAATATTTGGAACAAGAGGTCATCTAAGCAAAAAAAAAACCTCCGTCAAACTTTGTAAAAATCGATTTAGGTAAGGATATAGCTCCCATATATCAATTACATCCGATTAAACAATTTAATTGTTCTAAAGCCGAAATAGGCATTGAATAAATATCATGATAGGTATGATTTACTTTAGACAAATTTCCGTACTTTTGTTGTGGATAGAACTAAGGGTATAATAAAATAGACCTGCCAGAATTTAGTCCTTCTTTTACTGGTAAGAATTCAACAAAGAAGAAGACGTTATGTTTGGCTTGGTTAGATTTTTAATGCAACACCCCCAGGTAAAGAAAGCTATGGGTTTCAATATAAAATCGATTACCGTATGTAGTTAAAGACCTCGAAATTCATTCCAGGGCGGTAACGTTATATCGGAGACGTGCACCTATATAGGCAATTTTCCGTTACTAGGGTAGCTATTTATTTCTGGTTTCAAATACAAAATTATAAAATGTGGCTAAAATATCAAAATATCGAATATTGGGCTGTACCGTTATAGTGGTCCTATATGAAAACGAGGTAAGATCTCTGGTATCTGAAAGATACCATTATTTACCAAATCTCTTATAACATTTTGCTTAAATCTTTAGGATAAAATCCCGATTTCATGAGAGTACTTCTGTATGAAACTATGGGAAAACTTAAACCGGCATGGCTATTTTAGCCTTCTATCTCAATGTATTCAGACGAAACGATTGAAGCTAGAACCTTGAAATTTTGCACCAAGGTCAGTCTTGGTGCATGGGTGTGGAATAAGGCTAATTTTGTTCTGAAGAGTACTAAAATGCTAGAATTCTGAAATTTGGAATGAGTTTCACTGATGGTGAGCAGGATAGATTTCAAAGACATAATATTATAAAGATTGGAAGAATGTCTCGATCAGGCAATAAATGGCCGACGGCAACGACACAAATGCATTAGAAAAATTACAGAAATATATTATTGCCAAAATGAAAAAAGAAAAGCAACATATATGATGAGCATGGTCTAAAAAAATTATTTCAAAGGATTCTCCTAAAACATATAATTTATAAAAATCAGAGAAAATTCTATACATTTTTGAGCTCTGCCATATTGTAACAAAATGTTATGTTACGATATAACGTTACATATTTTCTACTATCAAGGAATAGAGCTCAAATCCTGGAATATTATATGGATGTCGCTGTTAGTGTCTGTGGTTAAGAGAAGGAGTTGAATACGCATACTATACAGTTTGAGATAAAAAAACGGCAACCAACTTCAAACTGCTGTAATTTCTAAGCCACTCGTACAACATCAGTTAAAATTATTCCAGTAACAGCTCATTATATTGTTTATAAGCGTACAAAAGCATTTTGGCGAGAATTTTCCAGAAAAAAAGTTAATCGTGATGGAATTCAAGCGTGATAGTGAGATTACTTTGCATTTGGTTGGAAAACTACAAGTAGCTATCGTTAGAGCATTTAAATGTGAATAAATATTTTGTGTCTCGTACCATCGCTCATTACCGCGATACTGGTAGCGTAGCCCGACGTGAAGGAAAAGAATGTAAAGAAGCTACTTGATCGAAACCCGCGTAGCAGTGGCTGAAATATGGCTCATGACCTGAAAATATCGCAATATCGGGGTAAAGCCATCGAAATTCTAAAAAGTGCAAGAACTTACAACGCAACAGAAAGAAAATAGACTCAAAACAGCTAAAGAATTGCATCGTTTGGCCGTAAGTGGTGAACTGCCGAAGTTGATTTCCTCCGATGAGAAAACATTCGTTGTCCAGCAGTTTGTAAACAAACAAAATTATCGTGTTTACTTGCCAAAGAAGTCAGCTGAAAATGTTCACCTTCGGTTGGCCACCATAAGTCAAGCGCTGGCCATGGTGATAGTGTGGGCCGCCATAACAGCCGATGGCCGCTCTCCGCTCGTATAAATCGACCGTGGCATCAGGATAAATGCCGAATATTATAGCGAAAATATCCTGGAGGGTGTGTTAATGCCTTGGCACCCAAACATTTTGACCGCAGACCTTGGACATTCCAACAGGACTCAGCACGTGCCACTTCCACAAAATGAGGTTCCTTGGTTTATTTCCAGCGCACAATGGCCACCAAAATCTCCGGACACCAATCCGTTGGACTATTGTGTCTGGAGTATTTTGAAAAGCAAGGTTGGAACTAAAAAAATACCAAAGTGTCCATCAACTCAAACAAGCGCTCCGCCGAGAATGGGCCACAATACTGCAGAGCAACATTCGGGCAGCGTGTGACGGTTTCATTGGCCGTTTGAAGGCCATAATTCCTGCCAAAGGTGACCAGTTCGGACAAATCTAAATTTATTCTAAAATTTGATATTATTTCGACATGTTTGCGCTCATTCAATAGAATAAAAAAATTAAAATTATTGCGTATGACTTTTTATACCCTCCACCATACCATGGAGGGTATATTAAATTTGTCATTCCGTTTGTAACTCCTCGAAATACTCATGTCAGACCCAATTTAGCGATGTCCGTCTGTCTGTCTGTTGAGATCTCACTATCTTTCGAATGACTTGAGATAGATTGCTAAAATTTTGCACACATGTTTTTTTTTTTCCAGTAGGCAGGTTAAGTTCGTAAATGGGCCCACGTTTTCATATAGCCACCATATAACGGTACCTCCCTATATTCGGTATTTTGATGATTTTAGCGACATTATTCACCGGAATTGTTTCAAAATTGGTATTTGAAGTTCCAACTGGATACTACACCCTAAGATAGAACATTATTCACCGGAATTGTTTCAAAATGGGTATTTGAAGTTCGCAATGAATACTACAGTCTAAGATAGAAAATTGTCTGTGCAAGTCCATATCTTCGTATAGCCCCCATATAACGGTACCTCCTGATATTCGGTATTTTGATGATTTTAACGACATTATTCACGGGAATTGTTTCAAATTTGGTACTTGAAGTTCAAAATGGATACTACACCCTAAGACAGAAAATTGTCTGTGCAGGTCCACGTCTTCGTATACCCCCATATAACGGTACCTCCCTATATTCGGTATTTTGATGATTTTAGCGACATGATTCACCGGAATTGTTTCAAAATTGGTATTTGAAGTTCGTTATGGGAACTACAGTCTGTGACAGAAAACTGTCTGTTCGGGTCCAGGTCTTCGTATAGGCCCCATATATCAGTACCTCCCTATATTCGGTATTTTGACGATTTTAGTTACAATACCCACCGACATTGTTTGAGACGTGGTATTTGAAGTTCGCAATGGATGCTACAGCCTGTGACAGAAAATTGTCTATGCTGGTCTAGGTCTTCGCACAGCTCTAATTTAACGGCACCTCCTTATATACGATATGTTTATGATTTTAACTACATTATTCACCGTTTATTTGAAGTTTCGAATTTGGATATGGTAATGGCTTATGACAAACAATGTCTATGTATGTCCACGTCGTATAGACCCCAATATAACGGCTATATTCGGTATTTTAAAATTTTAACAGAGTTTTTTAAAGATTTTATTTTTTGAAAATTTCCAAATTCTGAGGATATTAAAAGTTCGGCCTGGCCGAACTTACAGCTTTTTAACTTGTTTTTTTTTTTATATTACTAAATTTGGCAATGGGAAAATTACAGAGCTGTACTCCTGAAATTAAGATTACTGTTGTTGTTTTAGGTTAAGAGATGAACATTAATTTTAAAATTCGTAATTTAACTCACTTTAACGAAAAGAACTAAATGCTACTAAATTTGGGGTAATAAATTTGCCGTTGAGTGAATGGATAGAGCTTTATCTTTGATAGTTTATATTGAGGTCACTGTTGGTTTCAAGGATTCAAATATTGTTGTGGGCAACATTTATTATAAAATGACGCTAAACTATCTGAAAAGCATCCAATTTCGTAAAAATTTGGTACATCGTATTTCTTTTATCAAACTTAAATCGGGTTCGAAAACGGTCAAAATCAGCCTACTTTTTCTTGTACCTCCATCACAAAATTTTAATATTTTCAAAGACATAATTTCTATATCTCTTATTTTGAATTTCTTAATGCACCACTTTATCTGATGCGTCGTGTCAAATATGCAGTTTCGATAATAATATGGGGCGTAGATATTTAGTACATAAAACACAATATTCAATATTTAATAGTGAGTATAAAACTTCAACCACTCTAAGTTTTTATAGATTTATTTTTTTTTTTCTTTAAAATTTATTAAAAATTTAATGTATTTATTGCTTACGTTTTTTGTTGACTTTTTGAATAAATTAAACTAAGAATATTCTTATTTTGATATTAAAGTTGTTGTTGTACTTACCACTACAAGCTGTTATAACAAACAACAATGCAACTATGAATAAATTACTATGACTGAAGGTGAAGAAAAAGTTGCTCGCTGCAGCAGGTCTCCTTTGAGAGTTGTTGTTGTGTTTGTTAAGGTGGAATGATGATGATGATGCTGCCGTTGTTGTTACTGACTTTCCTGAAGATGATGTGGATGCTGTTGCCATTGTTGCAACTGATGTCGTCGATATACTGGCAGATGATAATGGTGGCAATTTCATAGGTATGGATGTAGAGGTTGAAGTTATTTTTGATTTTCTTTTGACACTGTTAGGACCACAGGTTAGCATGTTGTTGTTGTTGTTGTTTTTGTTATTTTTACTATTTACACAGGTAAAAGAATTTGTTGTTTTTGTGTGTGAGAATCCAGGAGATTTTATATGCAATTCAGTTTGATTGAACATATTTTTTCTTTTAATTTTTTTTTCAGAAATGTTTTATGTTTAATAATATATTTTTTTTGTTTATTTTTCTTAGGAAGGAATAGGAGGGAGTTTTGTTTTACTGGTTTCTTGTAAGGATTTTAATATTATACGTTCTTATTTGAATAATTAATTAACACTTTTCTTGTTGCTTTTTGTTTGTTTATTTTTTCTTTCCACTCTGTATTTTCGTTAAGGAGGATTTGTTAAACACTGCTACGAACAGAAAAGATAAATTGAAAAATCGCAAATTCATATTTTATGACAGTCTTAGCATAAACACTTGGTGGGACATCACCATCAGCACCAGCGGCACAAATATTATTTTAGTCTGGGTCTATGGATGGATGTTTGTAGGTATGTATGCTTGTGCTGACGATGATGTGTTGCCTACAAGATATGTATGCTACCAAATGCTTGCCTCCACAATTTCACACTTGTATCCCTTGGTTGTTGTTGTTGTAGTCGTCGTCGTTTTTCTTTATTATTTTGTTTAAAGATACGTGAGTGTAAACTATTTTCTTTTCATTTTTCTTTCCCTACAACACCAGCACCACCACGTCATTCACATATGCATTAATTTCGTTTTGGCTTTATTTAGGTCTTTGGAGGAACTCCTCGAAAATGGTGAGAGGGTGCGTACAAGACTGTGCTTCCTTAGTTGGCGGATATACAGAGGCTATGTGGCGATGGTTGTGTTGATAAAAATTGCGTTAGCCGCCAAAGAGGAAAATCTATGCATGATGAAGCTGTGGCAAAGTATCTTTTAAGCGCAATTTTCCGTTACATAAAGTGTTCACACTTTGTGCCAACCAAACGAGGCAGGCGAAGAAGAGCGACACAACTCATGAATGGTGGGCTAGCTGGATGACAGTGTCTTCTGCTTCTGCTGTTAAATGCCTGTTTGGTGAATGTATCGGCAAATGTATCATTAGCTAGACAAGGCGAAAAACTGCCATCAGGGACTCACTGTTCGCCTGCCAGCCAGCCAGCCAGCCAGCCTGCCTGCATAAACAATGAAATCTTATTAGTTGCTGAATAAGTTTTTGGCGCGTATACGCCTTGCCACCACAACGCTGGTGTTGGTAGAGCAATTTATTAAAGGAATGCTACTGTTAGACGGCTGGCTATGTATTCGTATTTCAGGCATCCACAACATGCAAATTAATTAGTTTCAATCCGTTGTTGTCATAATTAATAATTTCCTGCCTCAAATGATAATAATAATGACGATGATGATTATAATGATGATGCTTCTTCAGCTGCTTAAATGACTAGCAGGAAAAGATAACTCTTTGAAATACTGTATGGAACAGTAGGAACAGCACCGGTGGCAGTAGATGTGGAGACAGCCTTCGGCAGAATATCTTCTTTATACCACAAATGTTTGGTTTGTTAGGATTATGCTAATTTTAATGTTATGTCATAAATTGTGAAGACAACCATATTTGGCATGATGTACACTGGGCATAAAATGTCTGAGTAGAAGGAAGTGAAAGGATGTACAATACGGGTTTTAATTGCCTAAAATTAATCTTAATACACATATATAACAGAGTAGTGAAATAACTGACTGACTGACAGATCTAGAATCAACGCCCACACGAAACGGTTGAAGCTAGAATCTTGAAATTTTGCACAAGCTTCAGACATTGTGCGTAGGCGAGTGATAAGGCTGGGGCTTTGGACATACGTAATGAGCAAGAATTCTAAATTTGGAGAAAAGATGTACCAAAGGATTTTGGGAGATCGAACCAAAGGCTTTTTGGAAGATCGAAGGTTACGGAAAGTTCTAAAATTGTACTAAGCTTCTAAAATTATACCATTTTGTATTATGTGAACGGATAGACCTAAAACTTCAAACTTGATATGAGAATCAACGTTGGAAATAAAGTAAGATTTATGAAGGCGGTTTTGGAAATGTGTACTAAGTATGTGAAATGTACTATATTATACTAAAATTTTGCGCATTTTGGTTTATGGTGAATCTGATTTTTTTTTTTAAATTTTGTAAATTTTGTGTACTACAAAAGCGCAAGAAAAGTACTAAATAGTACTATATTTGGTACAATTTGGTATTGGGAGAACAGATATTGCTTGAAATCTAAAATCTGAATGGTACTATATTTGGTATAGGGTGAAGGGATAGAGATAGAATTCTGAACTTAGATATTGATCTTGCTGATGTTGTCTGGGTTAGCCACGATTTGGAAATGCGTCCCTTATTTGTATTAAAAATACTAAATATTACTAAATTGGGTATTTGGTAAAGAAATGGAGCTGAAAACCAGAAATTGGATATAGATGTCACTGTTGTTATCTGTGGATAACATGGAGATGATTTTGGAAATATGTACTATAATTGTTCGAAAAGTGCTAAGTAGTACTAAATTTGGTATCGGGTAAAGAGATAGAGTTGGAAGGTCGAAATTTCATATTGAGGTCTATGTTAGTATCTGGGATTGAAATATAGAGGTGGTATTGGAAATATGTACTATAACTGTTCAAAAAGTACTAAATTGAACTATATTTGGTCTTGGGTGAAGAAATAGTGCTGAAATTCAGAAATTTCATATAGATGTCACTGTAGCTGTCTGTAGAAAAAAGAAGGAGTTGCTTCTGGAAAAGTGTACGAAAAGTGCAAAATTGTACTAATTTTGGATGTGAGCCCATTCTCCTCGGTAAACTTCAAACTTTAAGATTTTGAAGACATTTTTGTGTAAAGGTAAATATTTTCCTATTATTCTAACCGGAAAAAGAACAACTTGACGGATATATTTAACCTTGAAAGTCTGAAAACTTAGTACAATATAAAAAGGTTTGATTACAAAATTTTTGTCAAACTGAACCAATTGTATATTTTTAGCACTATTAAGTAAAAAAGCAGAAAATTTCGGTCGATCCGAACTTTGAATACCCTCCACCATTTGGAAAGAATTTGGCAATTTTCAAAAAAAAAAACAGTAAAGAAAGTCCTAAAGTCGGGCGGGGCCGATTTTATGATACCCTACACCACTTTGCTAATTTAGTTGAGCTCGACTTAATAATTAAAAGTTTTTTTATGGGAGAATTCAATCATACACGCTATGATTATAATTATAATTTAAAATTCAAAGGACTAAATATGCCGAAGCATTTGTATCTTTTAAATTCGGACTTATATTGCCGATTTGGTGCAAAATTAATTTGAAATCAGATAAAGATATATATTGGAACTATATCCAAATCTGAACCGATCTCGATAAAATTTGGCAAAGATATTTCTGAGCTGTATTTGATATATTTCACTGAATATCGTTGTTACGGAGTGCATATTACGGCTGTAGGTAACAAATACAACAAATCGGATGAACAATATATATGGGAGCTATAGCTATATCTGAACCGATCATCACCAAATTTGGCATACTACCTTCTAGGCTAAATTTCGTATGTGCCAAATTCCATCCCATTTGGACAAATATTAGACATTTGGTGCACAATAAAAGGTAAATCGGACGAAGTTATATATGGGACCTATATCCAAATCTGAACCGATCTCGATAAAATTTAGCAAATGTATTTCTGAGCTGAATTTGATATATTTCCCCAAATATTGTTGCTGCAGAGTGCATATTACGGCGATGGTGGACAAAAATAACAAATCGGATGAACAATATATATGGGAGCTATAGCTATATCTGAACCGATTTCGATCAAATTTGGCATACATATTTTCAGGCCTAATTTGTATGTGCAAAATTTCATACTATTCGGGCTGATAGTACACGTTTGGTGCACAATAAAAGGTAAATCGGACGAAGATATATATGGGAGCTATATCTAAATTTTTACCGATTATCTCCAATTTCAATAGGGTTCGTCCTTGGACCAAACAAATGATTTGTGCAAAATTTCATCTGGATAGGGCAATAAATGCGAACTGTACTTTGTTTACAAAAATACATGGACAGACGGACAGACGGACGGACGGACATGCATAATGAATGTGATTCTATGCAGATCATCAAAAAGAACTATGGGTCTATCTCGTTTCCTTCTGCCTGTTACAAACAAATGCACAAATACATAATACCCTGACCACCTTGTGGTGTAGGGTATAAAAAATAAATAAAATCCATTAAAAATTCTGTTAAAATCTTAAAAATACCGAATGTATCCGCTATATTAAGGTCTATATGACGAGGTGGACCTGCACAGGAACTTTTGTCATAAGCCATTAAAATATTCAAATTCAAATCAAAATACCGAATATCGAGAGGTAACGTTATATGGGGGCAATACGAATACTTGGACCTATATAGATAGCTACCTTCCAGGGGATAAAGTACTCACAAGGAACTCCTTGTGATTTTCAGACAATTACATTGAAAAGTGTGCCTAACATCATCGAAATACCGAATATCGAGGGTGTACCGTTATATGAGGGCAATACGAAGACGTGAACCAGCATAGACAATTTTCTGTCATAGGCTGTAATATCCATTAAGAACTTTAAATACCAAATTTTAAACAATTCAGGTGAATAATGTCGATAAAATAATTAAAATACCGAATATCTGGAGGCACCGTTATATGGGGGTTATACCAAAACGTGGACATACATGGCACATTTTCTATACCAAAAGTCCTGAAGACATTGTGTACCAACCGTTTCGTTCGGAAGCTAGAGTGATTTCCACTGACGGACCGACAGATAGACGAACAGACTGACGATCATCGCTAAATCGACATAGAATTTTATGCTGATCAAGAAAATATATACTTTGAGGGATCTAAAATCTTTATTTCGGGGTGTTACAAACGTAATGACAAACTTAATATACCCTCCATACTATGTATGGTGGGGGGTATAAAAAGGCCTAACACGAATTTTTCAGATTTGCAACTGTTCAAACGAATCTAAAGTTATAAGCTGGACGAAGTAGCGGATACGTGTTTCTACTTCGCTTTTAAAATTTGTGGGAATCTTTTATTCTTATAAACTCAAGAATTGTTTGTCATGCAAACCGACATTCTTTCTTCAGGGATATTTTTCTGCTTCCGATAAATTCGTTTTAATTACTCATTTATATGTATGTATGCAGACTTTTTATATCCAGTATATGATAATTAAATGTATTTAAGCATTATTAATTCACAATTTATTTACACTCACTTTTTCTTAAATGGCGGCAATATTTTGATATTTTTCTTTAAGTGCCATTTCAACACTGATTTGCATTTATTTTTTAGCGTTTGATTTAAATTAAAACATGTAAAATTTTTTGTTCTGTTATTTGATTATTAGCAAGTTTGCACTTAAATACCACTTTTATAAAATTTAGCAATTTTCGTTCACTCTATTATATATTTCACAACTCGTTTTTTTTTTTTTTTTGTTGGTTTTCTTTGTTTGATTTAATTTTTATTAAGCAATAAAAAAAAAAATATGTATATCTGCTGCATATGTATAGTTTGTTTTGTGCAATATTTTGTTTAGTTAGATGATATTTTTGATGTTTGTATATGCATTTGTTTATTTCATATATATATTTCTTTTTTTTTTTGGCAGTATTCGTTTTTTGTTTATCTAAATCTGGGTAAAAAACGAAAAAAATGGAATAAATTGCAACTCGAATGCAGCAAAACGTTTTATATCGCTTTTATTTCACTTGTCATAACAACCAAATGTGGTTGTTGTTGTTGTTGCTGCTTCTGCAACAGCAGACGGTGGCAGACGTTTTGGTTTTTCATTTATTTGAAAACAGCATTCGATGGCTGGTGTTGTTGCTGTTATTGCTGCTGTTGTCTATGGCTTGGTCTATGTCCTTGCTTTGCTGCTGCTGTTGTTGTTGTTGTTGCCTTTGTCGTCGTTGTAGTGGAGTATTCAGTTGAATATTTGCTGTGACACACTTTTTGTCCCATTGTCGTTAACAATTCCCAACTGTGTACCTATCATCATCGTCCTCATGTATACACTAAATAATAGTTATATATATGATTTTTTGCTTTTGTTTTTAGATTTGCAATCTTTTTTTTTTTTTTGGTTTTTGATTATTTATATTTATTTCATTTATATTTGCTTTTCTATGGATATTTTTTTTTGCTTTGCCACCAACACAAGCACACATCACACATACACAAATCTCTGGGTTGTTTTTTTTTAATCCATATGCCACTTGACAAAACAAGTTGAATTTACTGCAAATAAAAAAATAGAACAAAAAATTCGATGAGTATTTATATTGTTTGGTTTTTTTTCCTAACATAAGAAAATTATGAAATGCTCAACACAAAAAATAACTCATGGTATATTTATGAAAAATCACATAAAATCTGTTATGTTTACAATACAGGTGGGACCAAGAATTATCAACAAATATTTGTTATAGTTTTTTTGTTTGTTTCTATTTTTATTCATTTTTCATCATCAACGTAGTCGTCTTTGTATCACATAAAATTTCCATAATCATAAAAAATTGTTATTTGGCATGTTTTTATTTGCCTTGAACTAAAATATCAAATAATAACAGGTATAGTGGGAATATTGCATTCAATTGTTAGGTTAAATGTGTTCATTGTGCCTATTAAATCGAATGAATAAATAAACAATGAAAAAATGTGCAGGTTTTGCAGAGCAGAAGTGGAAGAATGTTTTTTTTTAATAAAAACATTATATGGGAATCTTCCTGAAAAAATATAAACAAATATAAAAAAAAAATATTTTAAGCAATTATTTTTTATAGTTTCTAGCACAGCATATGCATGAGTTCAAATCACAAACATTTACTTTGAGACGCATTTATGATAAATAATTTCTATATAAAAATGAATACAAGTTTGGCCGAGAAAACCCTGCTGTAGCCTCTACCTCAGAACGAAATTGGCCTATTTATATATCAGTTGTTATCAAAATTCTTAAAGTTTGGGGTAACATGAGCGAGGTAAAACAGCTTCAAGTATCGAGAACAATTCCGTTAAATCATGAAAATGACTAATATCGAGAGGTACCTATAAGAAAAACAAATTAAAAAAAAAAACTTTAAGTTCGGCCGGGCCAAACTTTTAATACCCTCCACCTTTGGGTAAAGGAAACATTAGAAGAAATGTGGCAAAAACCATCAAAATACCCAATATCGGGAGGTACCGTTATATGGGGGCTATAGCAAATCGTGGACCCATACATGCAATGTTTCGCTACCGTAGCTGGAACCCATTATGACCTACAAATACCAATTTTCAGACAAATCCGTGAAAAAATGTGGCATAAATCATCAAAATACCGAATATCGGGAGGTACCGTTATATGGGGACTATACCAGAGCGTGGACCGATATATCTCATTTTTAATACCAACCATCCTAGACACAATACAAATTGCTCTGCTAAATTTTGGCGCTCTAAGTCAGATAATGTGGGCTGTATCGTGATTTCAACAGACAGACAGACTGACATTGTTAAATCGACTTAGAATTTTATGCTGATTATGAATATATATACACTTTATGGGGTCTACGACGAATATTTAAGGATGTTACAAACGGAATGACAAAGTTAATATACCCTCCTTTCCAAGGTGGAGGGTATAAAAATTACAAGTTCAACCAAAAACACATACCAGCAAAATTTGATCCTTCTTTAGCATTTGGATAATATAATTAGAACATACAGACATTGCTGAATCGATTTTGAATTTTAAACTTTGTTGGGTCCAACGTCTTTATTTCAAGAAATTACAAACGGAATAGCTTGACAGTGGGGTCTTCAACCGGTTCAAACTTATATCAAATCGTGGGCATCCAATGTCAGTCTAGTTTCCCAGTTCCCAGTCGGACTAAAATTCGGATAGAAATCGTAGCATAAACCTTAAAAAATATTGGTATTAGGAAATAAAGTAATATGGGGCTATATTAAAATGAAACTAAACTGCAAATTTCAGATCATTAAGCTCGTCTCGAAAGAGAAACAAACACATAAATCATAAACATATGATCTTTGCAAATATTAAAAATTCAGCCGATCATGGCTGTGGGATTTGAAGTTGCTGTCTCTACGTTCAGAGCCATTAACCCGTCTTTCTAAAGCAGCACTAAAACAAGTGTATGCATTGGAAGCAATGTAGTTGTTGTGGACAAAAAATCCATCACTACAAAAACAAACTTTGCTGTGAAAAAGATCTTTCTAGTGTTTAATTCGCATATGCTAATTCGCAATAAGTTCGAAATGAGAGAACGGCCCTTGTAAGCCATCATCCACACCAAATATGCTTGATGAGGCGCTTAACCAACGGCGAAACACGTCGCATAGTGGTGAGTGTGTGATAGTGTCTATATAACCCTTTGATGGGAACTCATTTTCGAACATTTAGAATCGATCTAGCCCTATCCGTCCTTCTGTCGGGATTATTTACGAGCCAACTCTCGACGCGAGTATCCATATTGTTCAAACATGGCAGATTGTACTATTTTTAGCAAGCTTAGGAGCGAACATTGCTAATATCAGAGCACTCATTTCGGTACATCCCTCACAAATGGCCAAAATATTCAAGAAAATGAATTATTTTATAATATGCGAAAAGAGTAACCGATTCGCATACGGCTTAAGTCGGGTGTGGTAACCATATCTACTTCTCACCCCTCCTCTGCTAGACGGAGAAATTAAAACTACTGTAATTTTTTTCAAAAGGCTATGTTATTACCCGATTTTTTCCAAAAATTCGACTTAGGGACGGGATGTATCAGCGTATTTTCTCCTGGTAAATTCTCCACAAAGGGTTCAAATTTTAAATAACCTAAATTCCAAAATCAATTTCTAATTATGTCCAAGTTTTAAATTTTCCAATATTTCAACTGATCCGTTTAGCTTTGAAGGTCGCACAGAGTAATATTTATTTATAAACTCTTAATAACTTATTTAGGGAAAAAAAGCAACAGTCTTGTCACACCTAAACTAGAATTCAGCATAGACGGTGAAACAAGACTGTTACTTTTTTCAATTATGGCAGTGATTTGGTCTATTAAAGGACCAAACACAGAATTCGACGCCATATCCGGTCATCACTTGATAAATCATATTCTATATTTAATCAATTTTCGTACCAAACGTAACTTTCCAGCAAAACCTTCCATTACCTTGATTGTTGTGAATAATTTTTGGTATGTCAGCTGAAATAAGTGGAAAGGGTACTTATGAAACCCTCCACCTTGGAAAGGAGGGTATATTAACTTTGTCATTCCGTTTGTAACATTCTTAAATATTCGTCGTAGACCCCATAAAGTATATATATTTATAATCAGCATAAAATTCTAAGTCGATTTACGATGTCCGTCTGTCTGTTGAAATCACGATACAGCCCACATTATTTGACGTAGAGCGCCAAAATTTAGCAGAGCAATTGGTATTGTGTCTAGGATGGTTGGTATTGAAAATGAGATATATCGGTCCACGTTCTGGTATAGTCCCCATATAACGGTACCTCCCGATATTCGGTATTTTGATGATTTATGCCACATTATTTAACGGATTTGTCTGAAAATTGGTATTGGTAGGTCATAACGGGTCCCCGTACGTGTGGCGAAACATTGTATGTATAGGTCCACGTTTTGGTATAGTCCCCATATAACGGTACCTCCCAATATTCGGTATTTTGATGATTTTTGACTGATTTTTTCACGAATTTCACTGAAAATTTGGTAGTTGTAGATCATAATGGGTCCCAGTTCGTGTGGCGAGTCATTGTAATTATAGGTCCACGTTTTGGTATAACCCCCATATAACGGTACCTCCCGATATTCGGTAATTTGATGATTTTTGCCACATTTTTTTCACGTATTTGTCTGAAAATTGGTATTTGAAGGTCATAATGGGTTCTAGCTCCGTTGGCGGAACCTTGCATGTGTAGGTCCACGATTTGGTAGAGCCCCCATATAACGGTACCTCCCGATATTCGGCATTTTAATGGTTTTTGCCACATTTCTTCTAATGTTTCCTTTACCCTAAGGTGGAGGGTATTAAAAGTTTGGCCCGGCCGAACTTAATGTTTTTTTACTTGTTTTTTACGTAAATTAACTTCGTTTGCTGTGTAATGAAGAAGGTGTTTTTTCTTTACATTACAATTTAATGGCTTATTTGGCTCCTGTGACTGTATATGTTCTGAATTAGTCTGATTTTAGACTGATTCTTTTAATAAAAGCCATTGATTATATGAAAATCTCGGGCGCAACTTGAGAATTTTATCCTGACAATGAAACGAGTTTTTTGGTTAATTCAGTGACAAAAGTTTTTGAATGGAATATTAACGTATGAAGGCGTATTTAATGCAACTGAATAACCAAATATGGTAATAGAAAAATTACATGCATAACTTGGAAACTTGCTTTTGGGGATTTATGTCCTGAAACCAGAAGAAAAGACTCGTTGTTGACCACAGAAACTTGGCGTATGACCATATTTTCTTTGGTGTCTTTAAAGACTCCAGCAATGTCTCGAAGGAATTTTTCACCCAAAAAAAATATTAAATATTAAAAATATTAAAAGTTAATAAATAAACAAGTTAAAATGTATCAGTCGGTTTGGCCGAACGATGTACACCATCAACTTTATGGTTGTTCAAACAGGTGAACATTTGTTGTGGGGGTGAATCCAAATGAGTGGGCCAATATTGTCCATTTCGTATCTAACCATATTTGGACTATGACGACAACTTCCTTCACATTTTATGGGATTTGTGACAATTTTTGGAAAATGTTGAAATATGCATAAGGTACCACAAATAATGGTTCGAAGTATTCCACTTAATTTAAAGAAAATCAAACATTTATTTCCAATTTTATTCGAATAAATGATGATCAAAATGTAGAACTTTTATGGGAAGGTACCAGAAGAAGTAGGAATATATATTTTATATTCACATTAGATCGTTAGTTAATGGAGATATTTATTAGATACAAAATTATTTAAAATGTTGACCTGTTATGGGGAAGGTACCAGAAGCAGTGGACCAATACGTCCCATATTCACACGAGATCTATTGTTACTAAAAATATAGAGATGTGTGAAACTAAAAGAAAATCGGACGCTTATTTCATATTTTATAAGAGTTATAACTATTTAAAATGTTGACCTTTTTTGGGGGAGGTGCTTGGCGTAGTGAGCCGATATTGTCAGTGTCTTTCGCACCCAACCTAGAACTGATACGAATA